GACATGTTATGCTAGTTACCACTTTATGCTAACTGACACATTGCCGGGAAAGGCAATGTACAGACATGAGTGGTGCTCCGTGTCCTTTTGCTTTCCTTTCCATCTCCCCTTACCCTGTCAGGCCTACTTGGGGGTTGTTTCCCCTCCCGTCTTGGCTTCTACTGTAAATATTTGATATGACTCAAAATAATGTTGTTTCACATTATCATCGTTTTAAAAATATTGTTTCTGTTTAAAATGTTTAATAATAGCCGAAAGGCACATGTAAATATATCCCGCTGCTTCTCCCTCAAAAAAATTTCTATTTCCATTTCATCCTTTGTTTAACTTATCCGCTTACGCTTTCGTGCCCCCTTTTCTCTTCTCCTTTTTCAATTTTTTCTTTAATTCACTCTTTCCACTCACTCTGTTGTTGTAAATATATGTATATCTTAAAACCTGTAAAACATTACCATCGAAATGTACCGTTTCCGCTGACAGACCCAACAGCCCCAGCTTTCCTCGAACCCACTGATCCTCTCTGCCTCCCCCTGTCTCTATTTTCTGTGAAATGTCAGTGAGAAACGGTACAAACCATCATCATTTTTCGCACATCACCTTATTGATTTTGCTTTTGTTATGTAAAGAGAATTTGTATCTGATGTTTTGAACCAATAAACAGATTTAAAAAAAAAAAAAAAGACTGTTTGTATCGAAGCTGGGATGTTTTTGTATTTCTACGTTCCTGCCATAATATTCAAACAGTTGCATAGGATAGAAAGAAACGAAAGAATAGACATTGAGCCCCAGTGTGACATAAAAAGGTATAAGGTAGATGATGATGATGATGCAATCGGATATGCGGGATAGAAAGTCATAGATATCAAAGCCAGACTGTAAATCATACACATAAAAGATAAATTGTCAATATAGCAATTGGTATCATTATGGCTAGAAACAGAACGTTATACATACGCAGAAAGGGTATGTTGTTAGTCGCTTATCCTTTACAGGACGTTGTAGAACTAACCCTAACAGCCCCTGGCTGTTGTGTGATTTTTTAATGCAAATTTACGTTCAGTAGTTTGCCATTGCCTCTGGACGGTCGGCTTTCTTGATACCACTGTCGAAACCAATGAAAGGCGCATAGCCCGCAGCTGGGATCGAACCAAGCATCTCGGCATTACGAAGCTTTCGCATCGACTTAGCCACAGGGCCGACAGAAAGGGTATATGGTAACAATTCTTATTATTTCATACACATATATATTATTACATTTATTTGGCATTCAAAATATTATTATTATTCTTTAAATAGTCATAAATCCATTTTAAGGACCCCCTTCCCCAACCCCCAATCAGAAAATTTCAACAAGGGCTGAGCCGAGAGGAGCCCTCCGGCAGAAAATTCAGCTGGAGTCGGGCTGACCCATGCCCAATGTTTTCTTTGAGTCGGTGGTACTCCTGGTTCAGAATAAATGCTTATTGTGCGCCACTCATCGAAATATTTCAACACACAAATTACACATCAGTGAGATTAGATGGCTTGTGGAATCATCGTCACGCCCACGCCCTATAGTCGGCCAGGGACCAGAAGAGAAAGAAACTGAAAACAAAAGAAAGAAAGAGCGTTCTAGCTAAAGCGCGCTAAATTTACTGCATCCTTGATGTGTGGGTCGTTTCTTTACACCCAATACTGAGAAATGCGGCAATTGTGATTACCGGTATCGATTCTTTCTGGCGGTTCAAGGAGGCGGGTACAGTTGTTAGTTAGTCTTAGGGTTTCCATATTGGCGTTTTTGGAACGTGGCGTATTTGGAACTAAGCTGGCTTAAGAAAATAAGCTGGCGTGTTTTTTTTGGGTTTTCCTGGCTTTTCTAAACAAGACGAGCTCACATTTTGGTACTTCATTTATAACGTGCGTCATGCGGTACGTTATAAATAAAGAACCCACATTTTCTTTATAGTTCCCCAGTGAGAAACTCGGAGTTTTTCCGATGTCTTAGGCGATCCATGTGAAAGGGTCGTTCGACCTCAGAAAGAATCGCCAACCGCAGGCAGGGCTCCCAATGCTGGGTCCCCCCCCCCCCCCCCCCTGATCTGAGTTTTTATTTGATGCCTTCGGGAAATCTGTTTTTTTTAAAAAAATATTTCCTTATATAAAAGTGGTAAATTTTTCGTTTTGTAACTATATGTTTTGTACATTTTAACAATCTTGGGGGGGTGGGGGGGGGGGGGGGGGGGAGGGGTGTTTGGTTCTTTGTCTATGTATTGCTTGGGTTTTTGTTTAGCGAAGCTGGGTTTTAAAAAAAAAAATCATATTGGCAGCCCTGCCCGTCTCCAATATTTAGAGAAGGCTTTGGGTTTGACATCTGTTTTAGGTAAGGATTTTAGCGCGCGCACACATACATCGTGATTGTAACTGATTCAGAAAGCATGCTGCGGAAGATCAGAACAGGTATGCTTCGTGTAGAGTGGCATGCTTCGCTGCGGAGGACACGAGTGAGGAATGTTACTGGCACCATTAGTATCGGAACTCTTCGCTGGCTGCTAAAGATGGGGACGGAGCGCTTATGGGAATGCCCCGAGTGCTGTGATATCGGTTCTTGAATCAGATCATAGTATGGGGTCCAAGCAGGGCTTTTTCTAGAAAAAAAATAGGACGGGATTGTACCGGGTAGAACGGAATAGGAGAAACAGATTAAACGTCCGTTTTGCCTTTCCTCTGTGCCTCGAGCATCTGCCAGAACCTCTCGTCACCCCCAACTGCGTCAATCGCACCAGACTGTGGTGATCCAACTGCTCCTCCGAATTGAACACGCTCTCCCACAAGGCACTTACCACGTCTGCCTTATCATGTATCAGTATTCCACCAAGTTGTGCAGAGCCAGCCAGTCTGTCCGCCTGTTCATGTCCCAACACACTGGTTTAACCCGGTGAAAAAATCCAGACAATTCTCCTCACTCGTGTCCTCCACAGCGAAGCATGCCACTCAGCACGAAGCATACCTGTTCTGATCTTCCTCAGCATGCTTTCTGAATCAGTTACAATCACGATATGTGTGTGTGTGTCGTGTTCTCTAGCCAGCGGAAATCTGCAGTGACCGCCTCCACCTTCATTCTTAAGCTGGATGTTGTGGTATCATATGCTAGGCTCTCCTGCACCAAACGTCGACCATTAACTTTTGCTGCTTAAAAGTCTCTTCAGTTCCTGAACTATACTTTCTGCATCACACTTTTCCAATTGAACTGGCCCAAGATATATAGAAACTTCTTTGTCTGTACTGTTACTGTAATATATCATACACACACTAAGCACTTTCGGTACAGAAATATAATTTGATTCGTCTAATAATAAACTATATTTATTTGTAGAAAATATAACTGATTACATCTTTTTCAACGTGAGAAAATAAAGTATTCCCTATAATATGTGTACACTTGCTGCGATGCATTTTCAAATCATCCATAACTTTACTGTCAAAAATAGTGTTTTTAAACAAATCAATCAAACGGTCACAGTTTAAAACTGCACAATGTAAACTTAAAAACAATGCGACTGATCCTTTAACTTTTGATAATTCATTTATCAGCGTAGTTCTGAAAACAGATGTCAGCGGTGTAATATATTTACACAGAACTGCAGTTTTATGATTTTCAGTCTCTGCATATGGAACCAACGATGCCAGCATCAAGAGCATACAGCATGAAAATCGAAACAACAAGAGGCAGGGGAAGACCAAGAAGAAGATGGATTGAAGGAGTCACGGACAACTTGAGACTTCATAACATCACGGCATATGAAGCGACTGAGCGCGCCCTGGCTCGGTTGCCGATCATCTGATAGACTGCGACGCCTAGCGGCACAAGCAGATTTTGACAAAAGAAGAAGTCTCTGCATGACTCTAAGTCTTGTATTTTCGTTTTAATTTTGTACTAGCAGTACTTACAACGAGCCTTGGTCATATCCTCAGGAACTGCCATCACCCATTCTTTTATTTTGTCAGCAGGCAGCCACTCTTTTCCGAAATTTTATTCATACTTTACTTTTGGCATGTAGAAAGTTTATTTTCAAGTGAAAGCCACATATGAAGGTTAGCAATTATTTTTTAAAAAATCACAGGAAAAAGAAACACAAAGTCAACACAGTGAGGATACGGTTGAAACAAAGTTAGTATGATTTACGCGCGTTTTTAATCAGTACAGGGGCTGACATATTTAAGCGTTGACCCCAGTGAGAGTTCAAAGTTTAAGTAATCGCAATTGTCACAATGTAAGTGCCAGACTAAAACAAAAATATTGTAGTAAATATTTTACACAGTAATTATTAAACTGACACTGAAAAAAAAATCTTTAAAAAAGTATCTACCTCCAAAGGAAAAACATCTAGATAAACATCTACCATCTAAATGTCAAAACCACTATCTAAATGCAATAAATAAACAGAGGGGGGAACCATTTGAGGCCGTTAAATATTATGAATTAATCAAGTAACAGAAAGTATTCTTCGTTAATATAAATTTCTGTAACCTATGGTGCCATTTCGATGGGTTGAAATGAATTCTGTCCGTATTTCATAGTCGTGGATTTCAAGCTGTACGATAGACATGGCCAATGAGACACCTTTTTTTGGGGGTGCCTAGTTGACCATGTATCTTAGTGCACTTGTATTCATGGCGAGGCGCAGACGCCGTCTGGAGGTGACAGGTTCAATTCCCGGCACGGTAACTATAGCTTTCGATTTTTATGTTGTCTAGTGTGTTCTTCTATCTTTCTACTTCTTTCTATGAGTGCCGTTCACAATACTTTCTGTTACTTGATTAATATCTAAATGCAAGGAAAAACATCTAAATCTGGGTGTAAAACATCCAAAGTGGCAACACTGGTGGAGACCGTACCCGATTGATTGTTTCGCGCCAAAAATATCGACACCCTTCCGCCAGCGACTCGGCATCGAATACGCGGGCTGTGTTGTGTATCTTCCATCTTTTGTTGACGACAGGCAGGCAGCCGGGAAAACATCATGTCGGAAGAAAATAACAACCTACATCTTTCTGAGCAATTGGACGACGGGGAGGACGATGAGTTGTCTATGGTGGATGTTCTCAATGAACAGGCTCGACTTCAAGCCGATGCAGACGCTGTTCTTGGTGGTAGCGATGCAAATCACTGCACTTACCCCCAGGTTAATTAAACTTAATTTTGATTTATTTTAAATTTTTTAAATTGTTTTGAAATTCAGCTATTTCTTTCTTTCATTATTGCCACCGTAGCACCAACAACTTGTCGTATTCTGAACTAAAATTTTAGTTCCTGAACAGTTCTGTGGCGTCTCCACTCTTTATCTGTCTATCATCTTCGTAATTTTGTCAGGAAAAAAATGTTTATCATTTTATGTTTATTCGACGGATCAACATCAGAACACACGGGCGTAACACCATAACCCATAAGTGCTCCGTTCTTCTTCTAACTCACTCTAGCACCGGCGAGGTAAGAAAAGATATAAATTAAAAACCGAACAAAAAGTATATCAGCAAGCTTTACAGTTACAGCATTTGGCTATCCTCCGAACTTTGGGCACTAAAGATGGCGGCCGCAAAATATCCTTTCGAGCCACAGTCACGTGTCATTTGCGCACTTCCTGTGACTTAATTTGCGGTTTTTCAGCGGGCACCGCCACAAGTCCCCCACGCCGCTCACGTGGTGTGAATTGGGCTAAACTAGATGGCTAGGACCCACGAGCAGCAGTTTCCGCATCTCCTGAAGCTTTGCTCGTGAGTCCTAGCCATCTAGTTTAGCCCCAATCCATGCGGCGTGGGGGACGTTGTGGCAGTGCCTGTAGTCGCAGGAGAACCGCAAATTAAGTCATGTGACTGACTCGAAAGGATATTTTGCGGCCACCATTTTTAGTGCCCGAAGTTCGGAGGATAGTGCAGCATTTCATCAGTTCATAACTTTTTCATCCTTTTGGATTAATTATTGCAGAGGCGTAAAGTCAACTTAAATGAGTAATATTATTACTGATTAATAAGTTAAAGAAGATTAGAATACAGTACACATTTGAAATCAATTTTATGACCAAAATTATTAAAATAAATATGTAATATTAACTCTTTGAGTCCCAAGGAACGTATCATACTTTCATAGGTTCTTAACTAGAAGCCCAATGAACGTAAGATGCACAGATTTTACGTCTATTTTGACTACCCCTTGGGCCTCTGATGCTAAACCCCCTGGGACTCAAAGAGTTAAAGTAACAAATGGCAATGTAAATGCAGTAACTGAAACTCCTATCTTTAAATCTTGTGAAATTTCCCATACTTTTGTAAAAATGAACGCAGAATTAAAAAAACAACAAAAAAAAAAACACTACAAATTGTCCTAATCTGGCTAATTTAGAAGATATTTTAGAACTTACTTACTGTGAAATACACTGCGTGCTGCCAAAAAATTCATTATCTGCGCAATAAAACCATGTTATGTCACTGCAATAACTCCTAATAATTGTCTTGATATGATTTTTAACGTAAAGAGTGCAGACAAATAGTTGCTCAATGACAGTGACATGTCTGGTGTTTTCAGGGTTGCATCAGTAGATGATTGATGACATGTTTGTGTTTTCAGGGTTGCATCAGTAGATGATTGATGACATGTTTGTGTTTTCAGGGTCGTAATTTATTTGTTTCCAGATTTAAAACCCGTACACCAAAAGGGGCAAATTTTTTTATTAGTATCCCGATTTAACCGACACAAAAAGGGGCATTATTTATTATGTTTTCTAATGTAACCTTAACAGAAAAAATGCATTTTTTTATTTGTTTTAGATGTAAACCCGTACACAGAAAGATGCATTTTTTAAAATTTTTTTTCTAGGTTTTCCTTACAAAAAAAAATGCATTTATTTATTAGTTTTTTGGGGGAAGGGACTAAATAAAAAATGATTTTTAAATTTATACGTTTTATTAACCTACTAAATTTTTTAAAAAAAAATCATGCTAAATTTTTTGGGTGAAATTTGACTATTAAAATTTTCTATGGTTTTCAAGAATTTTTCATGATAGAAGGGAATTTGTGAAATAGGAAATGACATTTCCTGTGTGTTTAAAGGCAAAGGGGGATGGGACAATTTGTTTTTATGTTTTCTTGTGGTTTAAATAAGTTTAAAAACTTGTTTAATTTTAAGTTTAAAATAAGTTTTCAATATTTTTTAAATTTTGGTTTAAATTTAGATCTATGCGTTTCCCCCAGGGC